AATCGAACAAGTTATATTCCGCACTATCGTTGTTGACGCGAGCGAGACCGCGAGGTTCTTACATTCACGAGACGATACTGCTGACTGAGTCGTTTTGAGTGCTTTGAGTCGCGAGAAGGTGACAGTGCAGGTAATTATTTTGAAATCTAATTTCATATACATGAAATAAAATGACATAAAATGGGATTTCCGTTTCGGAAATTCCCGGGGATTTTTATGACCCTAATATTGCCCAACCGCTACCTAAGGAAGGCAAATTACTAACGAGTGCCCCTGTATTAATTTTACACGAAAATAACTGCATATTGATTGAAAAAATCGACGAACGCATATATGCGCCCTTAGTCCAGGCCGATGATTTAGAGAAAACACATAAATGCGGCCTTAGGCTACACGGATGACTTTCGCCAAACGCATATATGCGTCCATAGAGCTCTAAGGGTTAATACCGAAAACAGGGTGTCGGGAGAACCAACGTGGAACTTGTCACGATTTTCAGAAAATACACAAGCTGTTCAGGAAGATCGAAATGAGTTTGTTAAAACTTGGTTCCGAAGTTTTTCTTTCACAATCGCTGAGATTGTAAGAACTTACTTTCTGCGAGAAAGTATTCGATGAACTTCTTCTTTGTTCATGCATGTATTGTAATAGAAATCGCACGAACTTTCAGTAAATCGAATTTTACTACGACAATATGCAAACGGTCTTGGATACTAAGACGTTCAAATCATCGACAAATTTCATTTTCAATTAAAATAATTAATTTCAAGCGAGACTTCGGAGACATTTCTCGCGTAAATCGTTGCTGTTTTTCATCTAGTTGATGCAAGATGGGTTTCTCTTTCGTGGAACAATGACACATCATGTTTTATACAAAAGAAACGCGAGAGAAAGTCGCGTTCGTACGAAATAACAATAATACCACGAAAAATATGTTCTTTATGACAAGATTTATGCGAAATCTTCTTCTCTTGAGAATTCTAATAAATTGCAAATAATATAACGTAAGTCTAAAATTACTCCGAACTTTTCGTTGTTTAGTATTTCACCTATTGATGTTGTGGTAAATGCATAAAATCCACAACTGCAGAAATTGCAATAAAAAGGTCTTCGACACCCAATTTTCTTCGATAGACGCTGGCTCGTAATGGTTTACCTCTTTTGTCTCATTCTGTCTATTCAAAGTCACAAAGTTCATTAATAATCTTTATTATTAGCTTTTTTTAATGTTAGAACCAGAGCTTGGCAATACAGTAATTTCTCCCTAATTCGCGCTCAGATTGCGCAGAAAAATGGACAATTTGGGAAAAGGAGATACGATTATTCGAGCCTTGCGTCTTGTTTTTATAATTATTGACAATCGGTAACTATAAAAGTAAGGTGCAAGGCTTGAATAATCTAATAATTAATATAGTTATATTAATTATTAATTATAGTTACATTAATTATTAATATATTATATTATTATTTAATTATAGTTATATTAATTAATATAGTATCTAACATAATATCTATATTATAATAATAATTATATATTAATCTAATAAGGCCTCTTTTCAAATCGTCCATTTTTGTGCGCAATCTGAGCGCGAATTAGGGAGTAATTACTGTATTTTCAATAAAGTGCAAGAGAGACGCAAGTATCAAAACGACTTTGAATCAGCTAGCATTACGGGTCCGTTTGCGAATATATCACCTTGAAAAAGATCAAACATTACACACTTGGCTACGTATCGTAAATTAACCACCTCTAATCATTCCTTCCCGCTAGAAAGATAAAGATTACATTAAGAAAAACCGTGATCTCGGAGTCTCTCACCTCGATCTGTATGCCGCTGTCTCCGCTGTTGCATTTCGCATTTCTGGCAGCCTTGCTACCCTTTTTTCTCTCCTTGCTACTTCTCCACACAAGGGGACCGAATCTGGAAGCAGGAGAATTTAGTTGCAACGAGGATTCTGTCGGTCAGTGAATTACAGATTCAAGGAGCTGGGGTGATCCTATTCAATAAACGAACACCCACTATCAATTGAACATTTCCCGTATTACATGAGACAGAATAACGTTCTTCCTACGATTTTCACATAAAAATTTATGGTATCCAAATAAAATATTAAGCATTAAATATCATTTGTTAATTTATTGTTGTGAAATGTGCTATCATTTTGCTCAAATATATTTTCAGAAAAATTCTTCTCTTTCAAATTAAATTGTTTATTTCGTTTTGTAAGAAATTTTGTTCGTATCGAAGAAGCACTTGATTCAATATTTTGAAAATAAAAAACAGGTCTTTACGTCCTGAATAAGATTTCAAAGCAATCAGAAAATGTCGAAAAGTTTGTTTTTTTTATTTTAAGTATTAAAAAATCATTTTTCCTTTTCTTGTCAAAGGGCGAAACAACTTTTCGAACGACACAATTATTTCACATTTCAACTGTTTAATTAACAGTTGTCTTAACAACGTCCAATGTGTTCAAGGCAAGTATTGCTACTTCAAAATTTGTATGTACATTTTCACAATTTTTGTACAATTTTTGTTCATTCATTGGTCGTTTGTTATATTTTCTACCACGTCTTACGTTACACTTCCAGTCGAAAACGTTTACCAATATTTCTAAAATAAAGTGAAATCGTTAAAATGTTTAACGCAAATGCACACATGATTTTCTCACCAAGTGATACAATTTAACCCTCGACTACTATTGCTGGTCTGTGAAACCGCTACTAATCACTTTATGGTGATAATTATAATTGTGTACGAAAAATGGTAAAAAGAGGGACGTTATTAATATGTTTGCTACTCAATATCTATTAAATCGAACTTGGACGTCTTTATTATTTATGTGGAAAATAAGAACAGTTGATATATATTTATACATATTTACCACTCTTGTGTCAATGCTAATGCAATAGATAATAATTAGACTGCGGATTTTTATGCAAAATAAAAATTGTTCGCATTAATTACAGAGAATACAAACCAAGTAGCAACTTTATCCTTCTTTTAACGATCTTAATAGATTAAAAATAATACGTTGACGTTTTAAGATGCTTTTAATTATTACACTATCTTAAATTGTAACTACCCAATTTTACCATAAATGCATAACGTCCGCAGTCTAGTTATAATTAGTGTACTAATGAAGGGTTAAGACCAGCGAAATCTGAAAAAATCGATCCCAATATAGCTAACAGGCACCCTACTGGACAGGTCACTGTAACATCGATTCAACGCGTTCGACTGACCGGAATTTTTGGTCGTTGCTGGTGTCCTCCTTGTGCTGAGGGGTTTGCTCGGCAACGATCGTCTGTTCCCGTTCCTCCTCCTCGTCCAGGGGCCCGGATCCGTCGTTATCGTCCGGCGGACACTCGCTCTCGTTGCTCTCCTTGCTGCCCTTTTTGTGGAATCTCAAGGAGAAGCTCTTCCTGAATTTCTGCAGCACGCTTTCTTGCTGGCTCTGCGTGCTCGACCGGGAAGGATTCTGGCCGCCGGAAGCGGTCACGATATTGCCACTCAGGTTCGAGGGCTGTTCTTGGAGACGCGAATGGGAGACCAAGGGGATCGTCGCCTCCGCCAGAGGATGCTCGGTTGTTACGTGACCGGTTGTCCCCTCGTCCTCCTCGTCCCCCGACCACTGTCGACTGCACACACAACAGGACGAGACATTATTACCAGATATTTCAGATTTTTATCGCGAGCTTCATTTGTGTCGCGCGGTTCAGTGACCACCGATTCAACGAACCACCGCCGCTTTTGTCCACGGAAACGCGCGTCGTCGCTCGGCCGTATGTGGACGCTTTCTTAATTGCGGTTTACCTAACGATGGTTACGAAATTCTTTATTAACAACACCATCGAATAAAAGTTTATCTAGATAAAAGTTAGGTAAATGTAAGCACGAGACTTTATTCGGATAACAATTCGTTCGTACAGAAATCCGCGCGGAAAATAATCGATTTGAATAAAAGTGATATCCCATATTCTTTTTTTGAAATGTTGCATTGGAATGTTTGTTACTTTTGGGTAGATTGATTATGGATGCATAACTATTTTACAAGTGATTTTATAATTTTATTATTTTGTAAATGATTTTATAATTTTATTATTTAGTAAGTGATTTTATAATTTTATTATTTAGTAAGTGATTTTATAGTTTTATTATTTTGTAAGTGATTTTATAATTTTATTATTTAGTAAGTGATTTTATAATTTTATTATTTTAGAAGCGATTTTATAATTTTATTATTTTAGAAGTGTTTTTATAATTTTATTATTTTAGAAGTAGTTTAAATTGAATCTGAATGTATATTCTTATGTAAAAATATATTCTTATAAAATTAGCCAAAATTA